AATAACGCCGTGGTGCGCCTTGCCGGAGCCCCCAGCAGCCTTGACCTGCCTGCCTGGGCCTTGCTAATGCCATGTCAGAAGGGGGATCCTGCTTTTCTGTTGCATGGCAGGTCTGTGGTCCAAGATGGAGCAAATGCCATCAGCAGCTGGGGCAGAGGCAGCTCCAGGAGCAGCAGCAGGAGCATGAGGCCACTTCACCCCATGGTGCTGCCCCTTCCCGCCAGGGCTGGGAATTCCCTTCTTCCTGGCAGGACACGGCCCTGGAGCGGCACCACCCTGCCCAGGTTACCTGGACCCACGTAGCCTTCTGCAAAGCCTCTGTTCCCAAGGACTCTTCTTCCTTCTCTGGGAGAAACCTGTTGGCAAACGCGGCTCAGCTTTTCCAGCGAGAGCCTCTCGGAGAAGCCATCCCGGGAGTTTGCAGGAACGGCTCCGTGGATCCCCTGGGAGCCGTGCCGGCCTGGCGGGATGTGGATTCCCCTGGCTGGCGAGGACTGGATTGTGCTCAAAGGCACAAGCGTCTGGTTTGTAAGGGAAAATGAAGCCCCCCCAAGACTGAAACACTGAGAATTAACCTCAAAATTACGCTTGGCCTGAATTGGAAGAAATGCCGAGTGCGAAACAGTCGCTTTTAATTTTCTCCATGCGTGTTCTCTCTGAGGGCATGGGGCTGGCACAGGCAGAGGAATTTGAGGATGCCCTCCCAGCTACCAGTGTCTTTTCTTTTCTTCTTAACAAACACTGGGGTACGGATGCCCAGGGGACCACCCAGCTAGAAACGGCGCTTGCAAACTTCTCCCCCTCCTTTCTCCAGCCCTGCCCAGGTTCTTCTTTCGGGCACTGTCACTTTTCCACCCTTCTGGACGCTGAACGAGCCCATCTGCTGCCTGGGTAAAGCAGCGAATCCCAGCTGCCTCCTGCCTCTTCCCAGGAGTGTTATCCCCATTCCTAAGGCCTCAGTGGTGCCAAGTGCTGCTTCTCCTGCTGCCCCGGCTCCGTGCTGGCTCCGCTTGCCTTCCCGGCTTGGGAATGCAGGATCCTTCCGGCTGCAGCTGCGCTTGTGTCCCTGGGCCTGGCCGGTTCCAGGTCGGGCTCCCATAGGAAATGGGGCCTGGAACGGGGGGCTCAGACCCCCAGACCAGCTCGTCCTTCCTGCACACATATGGCTTGCAGGGATCAAGTCCCCGCGGCGCACGGGAGAGGAGTCGCGTCCGGCCGCTCGAACCGACGCAGCAAACGAGTGCTCTGGGGCCGGGCTACATTGCTGACCCAAAAGCAAACCCGATTTGTGCAGCACAGTCAAGTGCAAAGGGAGCAAGAGAGGCCTCGGGATAAGTGTCCTGCGCTGCGCTACGTGCCGGGGTGGCAGGAGCTGGGCAGCCTTTTGCCTCCCCCCCGTGCTTCTGGAGGGAGGAAAACCCCCTCTTTCCTGGAAAGCAGCCCCTGCGTTCCTGCCTTCCCCGCTCCCCGGCTGCTTGTATCATGCTGCAAAAATCTGGCTGCAATTGTCTAATTATTAGGACCAAACAGGGGAAGATTCTCTGCAAATGTCAAGCCCGCCTCCGCGGGCCGCTGCGGCGGGGGGGGTCCGGGCGGCGCGGGGGCCGGAGCGGCCGGCGCTGCCCGCGGGTGGCAGGAGGTGGCTGAGGGTCGGGTGTCCTTGGCTTCCTTCTGCAGGCTCCGGGATGGAGCAGCAGCCCGGAGCTGCGGGAATGCCGCTTACGTGAAGAGCTGGCGTTTTCCATTTGCCAGCGGCATTCCCGTTTGCCAGTGGCAAATGTCTTTTGCCGACAGGCTCGCGGGATGCTGCTGCCCTTCCCGGTGCGGATTTGCCGGAGGCTGAGGACCTCCATGGATCCTCGGTCTCTGCGCTGGCCAGGGTCAACGCTGGGCGCTCTTCCTTTGGCCCAAGGCATTTGGCTCGCTCTTTGC